CGAAAAACCGATGCCAGTAGCGACAAAAACCTGCGGGGAACTCTGCAAAAAACGCATCTTCGCACGCGCAGCCCGTGCGTTGGCCATTTATTTTCTACTTTATTACTGGATCAAGCATGGCAAAACAACGTCCAGATTGACTCTGAAGGAACATTTACCGTAAATGTGAGGGTCATTCAACAGGCTTCCCACTCCTGTTGAAAATCATTCAAGACCACGGTAGCAAAGCACCAGACTTGCTCGTAAGATCATCCGTTTTTGCGCTAAACTTGAAGTAATCAAGTCGTTGAATATTATGAATAGTTATTGCTTTATATTTAAGTTGTGCACTCGCAACCGCAAAGATACCGTAAATTTTGCAAGAAGGAAAATGAATAACTTTCGGTGACTGGTCGTTCATTGGAAATGATCCGAGTCCTGGTTCCCGAGTTAAAAATTTTTTCACCAAAACTTTTATGTACCCATATGTGAGACTCAGAAGTGCGTAAGAGTTGGTAGCAAGTTCCTGGGATAACGCTTGACCGTGGAACCCACTGGCAAAATTTCAGTGTCAAAGCTTTGCCTAGTTATCAAGTGAAAACACCTGAAAGGACACACACCTACGCATACACACAACACAAATACGCACACACACCAAGGTTGCCACAATATACCTTTTTATGCGTTTTTGCTGTGCAGCGCTGCAACAGCAAAAACGCATATTGTCTAGAGGCTGTCTGTGTGTGTGTGTTTATGTGTTCGAAAAGCGAGTGCATTTTGTCACCCACTTTCATTTCAGCAACCAGGAAAGCTGGGAGGCTGAAACTTTAGACATATGTTCCTACCCCGTGTGTCATCCTCCCGTTTTAAGATCTTTCCCTATACGCGCCTAGGTCCAGCGTACGGGACCCCCAAAGAAATATGTTGGCGGGAAAGATTTCGCGAGCCAGGTAACGCAGAAATCTGAAACTTTGCAGGGATATTCCCTATGCACGTGCGAGATAAAAATTTTAAACTCAGCTCTCTAACTCCCCAACCACAGCCGCAAGCAGCTCCTTAAAAAATCATTAGCAACTCGAATCTGAACCGCAATTGCACATGCATATGAACATGGATTTTTTGAAAAACAACCGTTCGAGCAATACTTTCAATTTTTAATGAACTGAAAATTTGCATATTTTAGAAAAATCGTTCGCAGCTCGGACTTTGACCGCAATCCTATATGCAAATTAACGTCGATTTTTTGACAAACGACCACTCGAGCAATACTTCCACATTTTAGTAAACTGGAAATTTGTATTTTTTCAAAAAATATGCATTTGTCACTTTTACACAAAGTGAGTATTTACCGAAAAAATGACCAAACTTCATGCAAAAAGCCGGCAATCATGCACCGGGATGTCCATGCTGCTCCAGAATGCACCACCTTCAACCCAACTGACGCCTTTCCTCCTGCATGTCGAAAGGAGCCAAAGCACGGCCAATATGAGCCCAAGTGTTAGGCTACAGCGTAGGGATCATTCTTGCTAATAGCAATCTGCGAGTTTAATGCAAAAACGCATGATCCTGGTGCGTTCCAGTCTGGGTTGCATTTGCATAAACATTTAGAAACGCGTGAAAATAAAACAGACCGCACTGGCGAGAACTGTGTTTTATGCTCCGAGTGCCGTTAGCGGCTAAAATGGGATAGCAAATTGTCCCTAACAAGAACGACATGAAGCCCCCATGGCAAAAAGTAAAGTGTGCTAAACAGAACACGCCTCCTGTTCTGCTGACAGGTAGTAATTTCGTTACGAGAAAGCAAATACACTTGAAAGAGTTGAAAAACTATGACGAGCGTACGAAGAGCTTGTCAAAAAAAGTCAGGTAATAATTACCCTTAATGTAAGGGTGTCGTTAGGAATTCCAAACGACAGCTGGGGCGGTGTTGACGAAATACGCTTCAGTAAGACACGAAAGTGGCTTTTACTGAGATTTTTTCCAAATGAGTAACTGGACGAACAATCTTGAAAGTCCAAATTTCAGAAGTAACAATTAAGTGTGAGGAATGGCATCTATTTACAAAGATTTTAATCTATAAGAATATGTTAAGACCGAGAATCAAGAATGCACTCGGAGTAGAGGATTTGTAAAAGAACCAGCCTCCAGGATAATTTAATGACAGTAGGAAAATTAATGCCTAAAATTAAAAACGCTTAAAATTTCTGGAACTGTTACCCGTATTTAAGGCTTGTCTGAAAGGAATTTCCTACGAAACTTCCTAGAGAAATCTCTTTAATGCTCAAAATTTCTATCAGGCTAACAAACTGAAGTATTTCTGAAATTCAGAGAAAACATGAGGTGTACTTTAGTGAAGGAAAATTAAGAGAACATACTTCAGAAGGAATACAAGTTTCGGCCTGATGAATCGCAATGATAACATCATTCAGTATGCGCTCCATCTCAGTAGCCATTTGCAACAGCGATGGACTGGCGCACGGTCTTACCCTCTTTCGCAGAGTGGTCATTCGTTGTTTTGTCAGATCCACCATTTCGAAGAGTTCTTTAGTGATCTTGGCCCGTTTTTGTAGCCGTGCCAGTTCATTGCGCTTCACGTTCAGCTCCACTTGACATCGTAACAGTTCATCTTTAGCCTTAAGTATGAGTAGTTAGATCGATCAGTGAAATCTGTCAAGCCCATTATTGATAAGTAATAAACGCTATGTGTGCGTCGCAGGTATAAAATTTAGATTTCAGTGCTGCTTTCGTTACGACAAGAAGGCGTGAAGAAAGAAGAGTTATAATACGCGTAGTTTTCCTGGATGCTACGAATCAGCAGCCTGGTCAGTTGATGATGGTCATCAAAAAAGAGAAACTTCGAGAAATTATTTAGCAAAACAGACTCCTCGATGCATGTCATTAATTTAGCTGGCAAACAGAGCACACTGTCTGTAAGTTCATCGCTCTTTAAAATAAAAGTATCTCATAATCAATTCCATAAATCTCAACCTTTTGCATGTAGAATTCGTGCTCATTAAGCCTATGGGACTTTGGCTCGATTTTTCTAGTATTATGTAACCCTTGCCGCATTCTCTCTCCAACTGTTACCTAAATCTGGCAGTTTTATTTTAAAGCAAAAGAACAATGTGGGATCATTTAGTGCAATCCTGAAGTCAGAAAGCACATAACTAACCGGTATATTCTCCAACAAACATCGAATCGCTCTCAGCAGTTTTTGTCGCCCAATATTGTCGATACCAATAGCCTGGATATAATTACGGCTAAATGGCATTCAAACTAACTATTGGAAAGAAAGCAAATACGCCTGTGATAAGGATTTTATTGGAAACGAGGGGAAGTTTAAAAAAAGAGGCCTAGCTGCCGACTTCCCCTTAAAATTACTTTCGTTTACCACACGGTTTCCACAAACGTCCGGACACATTTGCAATAGCTTGTACAAAAAAGACAACAAATTGGGCGGAGAGAGCTAAATTCATTTGCTGCTGAACCGCCGAAAAAATGAGAAGGGAGTGCCCTTAGGAAAACCCTTCGTTTTGCTAACGCAACGCTAAACATGTATAATCGTTTTGTTTTCCAAATCAAACTATACGTGGTTTTCTTTAAATTCGAAATACACGTTTAAAAAGAAGCAGTCTGCGTTAACAGTTTACTGCCTGAACTGTCATGCAGTGAATTCAGGGCTACTGAAGTTCTAAAACTGCAGTTCCAAGCATAAAGACTTGCACCTGACGTGAGGGACCACCCCGGTACCACCACCAATATTAAGCCTCCGCATTAGCTTTCCCAATGTCCTTGATAATTACAAAAGTTAGCTCAACACTATCTGGCATTCCTTCGTAATTCAGCAACTCCAAGGTCGAATTAAGCGAATAAATGCAAGCAAACGTGAGCAAAACACAATGCACATATAGAAGCAAAAATTTTAAAAGTTTGTGGTTGTTACCAAATTTAGTGGTCCTTCCCTTCTTTTTACTTTTCCGTGGGAACAGCAAAATCCACTTCTACAGCACAGCTTGTACAACACATGCGTCGATTTCTTACCTTCAAATCGGCTTCTTTGAGTAGTGTTAAGGCAGATGCTTGAACGATGTTTGCGCTCTGGAAATTCGGTAAATAATCAGTTATTTTCAAGATTTGCAGCACCTCTTCCATAGTTTCAGCACTCTTTAGCCGCTCTGTTGTTGTCATTTTGAATAACGTAGGCTGCAACAACAAATATATTTTGCACGGGAAAATCCCAGAAGTTCCGCAGACGAAAGTCTAAAATGCCAGTGATTAAATAGTATTACAGAAAGAAACATGACGCTGTGGAAACATTGCATTTAGCGGTGAACCTGGAAAAAAGACACTGTCTTGCCCTACAACAAACCTCCATGTAAACTGACCATTCGATCCGATGACGCATAGTGCATTCGCAGGCTCAGAAGTGGAATGCGCGCTAATCTAACATGCCTTTCAGAAAAACATAAAATTTTTGCACATTTACAGCGAATGAGTATCGATATTCTTAAGCAAACTGTCAGTAGAATACTAATCAAACAATAATACAGTCAGATTTAGCGGACAAAATCAAGGGACTGGAGGAAACGAGTAATCTTTTAAAAAAAAAATATCCTACATTTTTCTAGCTAAACCGGCTGCTTGTCATAA